AGGTGGGCACCATCTAGCTCTACTGGACTCAGTCTGGTGGAGGCCTTGGTAGCTGTGGTCCATTAGTCCTTTGGACTAGTGTTTTCCTTGTATCCTGTTCTCTTCATTCTCCCTTGCTCCTGAAGGGGTGAGACCAGTGGAGTATCTTAGATGGCTGCTCACAGGCTTTTAAGACCCCAAGCGTGACTCATTAAGGTAGAATGTAGAACATTGTCTTTATAAACTGGGTTAAGCCAGTTGAGCTAGATGTTCCCCGAGACCATGGTCCCCACAGCCCTCAGCCCAGCAGGTAGTCCCTCAGGGAGTTTGGATGTGTCTGTGGAGCTTCCATGACCTTTCCTTGTACAAGTTGTGCTGGCTTCCCCAGTATTGTGTACTGTCTCACCCTTCACCAAAGACACCACTTATCTATTGTCTGTTGAGTCACCTCACCCCTCCCATCCCTCTTAACCAACAAAGATTGTTACTTTTTGCGTGTAAACTTTTTCATGAGTTTTTAGAATAGAGGTCTCATACAATATTTGTCCTTTTGTAATGGACTTCTTTCAGCATAATGTCCTCCAGTTTCATTGCGTAGTACTCCATTATGTGTATGTACCATAGTTTTTTGGTAAGTGATTTTTGCCCTGCTAATTGGTTGGCATTGTCAAACAGTTTGGTCCTTATGAGTATTTGGTTCACTTTAACTTCTGATCTGGAGTTCTTGCAGAAGAGGCTGAACTTTTATTGTTGTCAGTGCTTGAATGAGAGATCCTTCTGTAGGTTCTGGGTAATAACAGAGAAGTTCTTCTAGTGTCTCTGGGATCCAGTAATATAGGACCTATGGCTTGTTAAGAGTAAAACCAATTATTCTCAGAAAATCTAGTTGTAGGGAAATTCATTTAAGGTATCCCTTCTCACTTTGGGGAGTTCCTTGATGTGGTCTCTTTGTGATAAGAGCAACTATAATCCACTTAAAAATTCTAAGTAGTAAACCTGGAAAGGTGTTGACCTGGATTCATAAGACTTTTCTGACTCTATCTGCCAAAATCAATTAATGGTTTGCAGACTCTGGTCTATAGCGAAATCTTTTTATGATATGTTCTGCATAGAGAGGAATCTTTATCTCTGAGTTATGAGACCATTTACTGTAGCTTGCCTAACTCCTGCTTTTCCCCCAGTTATGCTTCCTTTTCTTCCCTTTTTTTCCCGTTTTCCCACTTATATCTTATATCTAGACGTTATGAATAACCATTTAGCCTAAAGAAAAATGCAACCCCCCCCCCTTTTCCTGTGATGGTTAGGAAGAAAGCTCTCAGACTCTCAGAGGTTGTAGGGGAGAGGAGCTGAACCATCCATCATGTACTGGACTTCTATTGTTTTGTACTGGATAGCATAGAAAGAGCACAGCTTTGGAATGGCATAGATCTGGGTTTAAATTCGTAATTTGCTGGTAACTGAGAACTTGGGTCATTTATTTTCTCATTTGCAGTAAAACATACTTCCTAAGGGTTTTTGTAAGGATTGCCAGAGTAATAAATGTAAAACATTCAGTGATTGTTATTTCTTGTCACCTTCCCTTTCTCTTTGGTAATAAACTGCTAAGACCTTGAATGAAGAATCGAGTACTGTAGCAGATGTGTAATGCTATAACCACTGCCAGGCACTAGGGAAACTGTGTCCCAGAAACACTGGTCTAGGTGGGACCTCCTGGTGAATAGAGTTGGAGTAGGGAAACCAGCTCATCCACTCCTTAGAACCCAGTTATGCTCTTGAGCCAGTTAATTTCATCTACTAGTTCACAAAATAGTTTTGGGCTGAGGCATTACTTACTATTAAGTAATGTATTTGGAAGATAGAAACTAACTGTTGAAACAACTTAATATCTCACATTTGTATAACATACGTTATCTTACCTGATCCTCACAGCAGCTCTGGGTTAGGCTGGCTCTTTGTGGTATTGGCATCTTACAGATAAGAACATGGCAGTGACTTACCACCATTGTTGGCTAGTGGCAGAGCCAGGACTGGGACCAGTCTTCTGAGTCTTATTCTAACCCACACAGCCTCTGCTGCCTTCTTTCAAGAAGACAATTTCCACATGTTTTTAGACCTAGGAACTTGATCTTCTCCAGATTTAGAGGCAAGTGGTCAACTTTAAGGCAATGAAGATGTTAGAAGCAAATGTCTCTCCAGATATTACTTCCTGACATGAGACCTGGGTGATTTCCTTTCCTCCTTCCTAACCCCTTTTATTGAATTAAAATTGTGGGGACAAAAGTGCCCATTTATGGCAGGGTGACAGTTTCTGCAGCAGAGGGTTATCACTGCATGCTCTATGGTAGTGGTATTTTGGGCTTTTATTAGCAAAGTTTACAGGGCGGAGGCTGCCCGAGTGGTAACTTTGAAACGTAGTCATGGAAGAACTTCTCTTGAACTCAGAGTTCTCTTGGTGTGGAAGGTTCATAGGTCATTGTACATAGCAGATAAAGGCAAGTGCTTAAAATGAAGAAATGGAGATGAAAGGGGAGCAACATTTTTTATAAGGGTACTTATTAAAGATCTTTGAGTGGCCTGTTGGAATGTAGAGTGGGAATATGAGAAAATGGCACAGGGCTTTGGACTGAAAGGAAGAAGAGGAGTTGATAAGTAATTGTGGAAACCCAGAACTGGGTAGGAGGGATTGGAGGCCACTGCATTCTCGGATTCAGGGGCTGGGTCCACTGGAAGGAGTTGTGGTGATGGAGAATTTAGCAGGTGTTTTTGATACAGGAGGAGTTTATTGGGCACCTGCTCATCAGTTTCTTCTGAGTTCCCTTTCTTGCTGAATGCTGCATACACTCTAGGGCAAACCGGCACAGCGTTTGTGCTTGGTGTGGGGCTCTGGGGAGCGTGGGAAAGGGAGCTGAAGCAAAAGGCTCAGCCTAGGCTAGTCCCCACTTGTCTTCCCCACCACTACTATTGCGTTGGTTTCTCAATGTCTTTGTGGGCATGCTGGGACTAGGCTTTGAGGTTTCTGCCTTAGGGGTGGGGAGGAGGGGGAAGGGCATTCCAACAGCAATCTCCCCCTCTCCCACAACTTGGTTGCTGGACACAGGGAGTAAGTAAGTTTTTATCCATATTGTAATCTGCTCGTGGTGCTGGAGGAACTCTGACATGGCAGTAGAATTGGGTTTTTATGAAAACTGTCCAAGCCCCAGATATCTGAAACAGAGCAAAGTCCAAAGGACATTGTTACATTAAGCAATTCCAAGTCATTTATGAAATTACTCCCTTCCATTCCCAGAATGTCTTTCTCCCAATTCCTGCCCTTGCTCCTTTTATTTTTATGTGTTGGGTATATTTTATTTTTCTCTCATTCCCATTTTTCCTCCAAATATTTCTGCAGCTCTCTCCTTCCTGCTTCCTCCTTGCTGTGGTGGCTGGGATGCTTCTCCCATGACTTTTTGAATCTAGACTGGGCTGTTCTCTGTGTTAAACCAATCAATTACAACCTCTTAACAGGTGTGTATGGAAATGTTTATTAACAATAAGAAAATCTATTTTTAAGTGCCTTTTTTCTTTAGGGGTTGATGAGAGGGTGGTGAATAGGAGAGAGGGTTTATTCCAGAATCTGCCTTTGAACACAGTTTATTTTGGACTGGCTATAAAATCTCCCATAGCTGTAAGAAACCCCACTAAGACTTAACAGTATGAATACAATGCCCCTTCAATTATTAGCCAACTTGCTGTTTATATAATAAGGGTATGGAGAGCTCTTCATTTCTATATAACTATCATTTATTATAGAAGTAACATACATAAGCCCTCTAGATACTTGGATATTTACCCTGAGTTGGAACAAGTAAAAGGGTAAAAAGATGGTCTAAAAAAATTTTTGAGCTTTCTGCAGGACTGCAGAGATGTAGGAAGTTCCTATGAAATACTTTGGGGGACATTTTCAGAGTTGAGCCTAATGCTCCTTTTCCTACTCTCCAAAGAGGTGAAGGTCCCTGAAAGTAGTGCCCTTTTTACACATAGTTTTCTCTTGTCATTAGTCAAAGCATACATTTTGCCCTCAATATTGTAGTGTAATTTTGAAAGGTAGAAAGGTCCCTTCGTGAATGTATTAAATATGGGGGCTTATGAGTTGGAATTGACTCGAGGGCAATGGGTAGTAGTAGTTAGATTGAGAAGCTGGCCTTAATTTTGTCCCTATCTTTAATGACTGAAAGATTTTACAACTTCCATTTCTTATTTGCGTTTTAATTTAACATACTAGTTTAGTATATTTTACCTCCATTGTTCAGATTTGGGAGAGATTAAGTAAGATCTGTACTGTCCCCTTATCTCTAGAAGTGGCTTGCCCCTGCGGTACAGTGAGTGCTTGTCTGTACTATGGAATTATAACTTTCATTGCAGTTGGTGCCAGCAAACTTTTCCAGGGAAAAATAATCTAATTCTAATCTCCTGTCATGACTACAGCCCTTAGCCACATCTTCCCTCTCCCATTGACAGTGTAGATACTTGGCTTTAGTGGTACATTTCGACAGTTATTTCTGTTGGGATGTTGAGGAGCGTAGTGGGAAAAGGATCCTGCTTTAGCAGACACTGGTGATGGGCTCCAAGGCTTGGTGGCGGCTTGCTCTCTGCACTGCAGTGGAACCAAGAGAGCGCATCTTTGGCTCTGGGATTAATAATCATCTGTCTTCTCTGACCTGTGACCTTTTCTCTCCTCTCTTACCCTCCCGGTAGTGTGAAGTGAGGGGGGCGTTCTCCCTCCTTTCTCCTCCCTCTGTGATCCACCTTCCTTTTTACCCTGTCCTGCGGCGGCTCCGCCCCTTACCGTCATGGACGACTCAGAGGTGGAGTCGACCGCCAGCATCTTGGCCTCTGTGAAGGAACAAGAGGCCCAGTTTGAGAAGCTGACCCGGGCGCTGGAGGAGGAACGGCGCCACGTCTCGGCGCAACTGGAGCGCGTCCGGGTCTCACCACAAGATGCCAACCCACTCATGGCCAACGGCACCCTCACCCGCCGGCATCAGGTAACCCCTCTTTCCACCAGACCCGCAGGTAGGACTTTGGCAGGGTCACAGAGATCCTTCTTGGGAAGCTACTCTCCTGATAGTGATAGGTTGTCCAATGCCCATGCATCATGATGAATCCTCCTAGGGGGTAATAAATACTAAGAGATAGGGAATATTGCTGCTGTGCTGAATTGGCTGGACTTATCTCTAGAAACTCCATCTGACTTCCTGTTTTGCTGGAATGGGGTTTCTATGTTGAGATGCAATTCTCGTAATGGTAGATTATGTTGTTTGGAGCTGTATTCAAGTTACTTCTGTTTTGTTTCATTTTTCTTGGTGTTAAAAAATCAGGACACTCCTGAGGTTCACCCTTCAGCCAAAGATTAGACAGGCCCATAAAACAAAATGAGACTAAATGGGCACACCAGCCCTGGGGCAAGGACGAGAAGGCAGGAGGGAATAGGAAAGCTGGTAATGGGGAACCCGAGGTCGATAAGGGGAGAGTGTTGACATGTCATGGGATTGGCAACCAGTGTCACAAAGCAATATGTGTATTAATTGTTTAATGAGAAACTAATTTGCTCTGTAAACTTTCATCTAAAGTACAGTTAAAAATCAGGAAAGTAAATGCCTGCTCAGTGGTTGGGAAAGCTGGGCATCCTGTGCTGTCAGTCCCACTTCAGTCTCCTCAGGGAACAGTCTGTGCTCAGAAGGAATGGCAATGTCCATATTTTGTGTATTCCTGTTCCATATTATCCTAGTGTGCTCTTTTTGTTGGCTGTGTAAATCATGTCTTGGAAGAAGGGTCATTGTTAATTCTGTTGGTTAGAGTTGGAGAGAGACTATCATGCTGCTGTTTAACCCAGATAACCACAGGAGCCAGTGGTCTTTGAGGTTAGTTGACTCTGGGATGTGACTAGGGAGAGTTGGTGGTGGAAATGAGAAGTATCTTGTGTTTCCTATGTCTCTCTAGTCTGACTTCGATGTGATGTAATCTGTCTGGGGTTTTGTCTATCTTTGATTCTCTGTGCATAGTAGGCATTTCCTGATAGACTTGCATCTTAAGAGATCTCTGTGTGGGAACCAGCACAGTGCTCATGCTCCAGTAGTCCTTTTCATTGATTACTTATTTATGTTTTAAGACAGAAGAGAAGGTCCCTCATACTGAGGAGCCTTGCAGTTGTGAGTGAGAGGACAGATTTCCAGTTAGGGGATGATCAGGAATTTGAAGAAGGTTGTGTGTTTGCAGTATTCCTAGGGTTTTTGTAGGAACTAGAGTAGAGGGTTAGGGATGAGAGATACGTATTGGAAGGGGGAGAGCAGGGCTGCTCAGGCTCTGGAGGTGGTGGGGAATTCCAGGATTCAGTGAGTGGTTTCTCTCTCACACTTGCTCTTTCTTTTTTTATTTTTAACTTCTGCTCAGCAGTGATACCACACCCTTCCTTCTTCCTGAAAGTAATGGTTAATTTCCTCCCCCTGTAGCATTACACTCCCTATGTAAAAAGGGTGGGGTGGAGAAGGGGAGAGTCTCCCAAGGTGACTGGATCTCACTTTATTCTATCGGAGGAGGAGAAGGCATCATATGCATTTTTACATGGTATAATGTCATTAGATTATTTTCCTGCTGCCTAGGACAGAACAATTTAAGGATGATGTTTTGGAATATGTTCTGTGGCTCTAATAATTGGTGATGAAGATGTTGAGGGGTCTGCTTGCTCGAGGGGAACTGGGGTACTTGATTTTTTTGCAAATGCTTGGAAAGGGAGACTCATGTCTCTTGCTTTTTAAAAAAAGCTGCCTGGTATGGGGGTTTCCAATGATAATAGAGCATGAAGATGCATGGAACACTAAGAAGGCTTTTGGAAACCCCCAACCTAGTCCTTCCAACTTTCCATATATTTTTTATGGCTTTCCAAAAAGGTTGGGTGTTGGGGAACTTATCTGAGTCTCTGCTATTTATTCAGCAAATAGTTTTTGAGTGCCTTTTATGTGCCAGGCATTGTTCAAGGCACCAGCGACACATCAGTGAACAAAACAGACCCCCCAAAACCCTCTGCCCTCAATGGAGCTTACGTTCTTATGTTCCAGAGACCCAGTCTGCCAGAGTTCCAGGCCTGATTCCAATTTTGATGAAAGTGCTAAGACTGAGGAGTGATGTGGTTCTTTTATGAGTAACTGACACAAGGACTCCAGGCCACAAATATCTTCTTGAAAGCCCTTTTCCTGTTTGGAAAAAAGATCATTTATGTTTGATAGAGCAAAGGAAGGCCACAAAATGAATTGTCTTCTTGTGGGCTATGTTTCAGAACGGCCGGTTTGTGGGCGATGCTGACCTTGAGAGACAGAAATTTTCAGATCTGAAACTCAACGGACCCCAGGTAATTGCTTTGGCCTAAGGCCTGGGTTACTTCATTCATTTCTTTTTACTTTTCCAGCCAGTAAGATCATATTAGTGTCTTGTAAAGTGCCTGGCACATTGTAATGACCCATTAACATTAGTTTCTTTCAATTAGGAAAATAAATCTGTAGATCTCCAAAGTATATATGTCCTTCTGTTTTGGAATGAATTTTTAATGACCATTGATCTTTATCACCCACCAAACCCCTCCTCTCCATTTGATTCCTCAATTCTTGAATTCCTTTTCTAGAGAGGATGTGCCTTCTACATTTGCATAAAACCATACCTAAAGCCTGGCTGGTCTTGAGCCTTAGGCAGTGTCTGAAGAGTAGCAAAGGTGGTTCTTAATTGAGATTTTCTGGTTTATCTTAAAATTTCTTTATTTATTGGGTGAGATACTCTTTTGAAGGGTCACTCAGATGTAAATGTGGCTGCAGTTAACACAGCTCATATTCATTTAGAACTGGGAAGTTAAATCTGCTGTTTCTGTCATTTGGATGTTGATGCAGCTAGGGTTAATTCAGTTCATGTTTGTTAAATGACCAGAATTGGGGAATTATGTCTATTGTCCTTTGTTAAAGTTCAAAAGATGGGGACAGCCACCCCAGTAAAAGTCCCAGGGCCTGTAGAAGGTACCTGAGGAATCCCTGTCCCCACGGGCTCCTATGCTTTTTGTTGGGATGAATTGTTAATATATATGGCTGAATAATAGCTTCTTCCTTTTTCTCTCTTCCATGTAGGATCACAGTCACCTTCTGTATAGTACCATCCCCAGAATGCAGGAGCCTGGGCAGATTGTGGAGACCTACACAGAGGAGGACCCTGAGGGAGCCATGTCTGTTGTCTCTGTGGAGACCTCTGATGATGGGACCACTCGGCGCACAGAGACCACAGTAAGCCAGGACTGATTAAAGTCTGGGAGTGATGGAAGAGGCCTTCCTATGGTCTCTGTTAGGGGAGGATTTAGCACTTAATTTGGGTGGCTGCAGGCCACTGATCTATGGGGAAGGCATAAAGAAAGTGATCTCTGGCCAAATAGAGAAGACAAAAGAAGAGATATGGGGAAGATAGATGGAATGGGGAAGAGAGAAGGTATATCAAGGTCTGCAGTAGCTTTCTTATAGGGCAGTTTTCCTGCTTGGAGACTTCCTATAAGTTGGAAAGAAAGGTAGGTGCTACGTTTAAGGCATTTCTAGGGAAAGAGAGCTGGAGGTAGGGGTTTATTTCCTTTCTTAGAGTGGTCTAGAGTTTAAGGTTATATCACTCACTTCCTTCAGTAGTTTGTTTTCTTTGTCTTGTTCTTTACTTGAAGGTCAAGAAAGTAGTGAAGACTGTGACAACACGGACAGTACAGCCAGTCCCTATGGGACCAGATGGGCTGCCTGTGGACGCTTCAGTTTCAAACAACTATATCCAGACGCTGGGTCGTGACTTCCGCAAGAATGGCAATGGGGGGCCTGGTCCCTACGTGGGGCAGGCAGGCACTGCTACACTTCCCAGGAACTTCCACTACCCTCCTGATGGATATAACCGCCACTACGAAGATGGTTATCCAACTGGCAGTGACAACTATGGCAGTCTATCTCGGGTGACCCGCATTGATGAGCGGTACAGGCCCAGCATGGAAGGCTACCGGGTACCTAGTAGGCAAGATGTCTACGGGCCCCAGCCCCAGGTTCGGGTGGGTGGGAGCAGTGTGGATCTACATCGCTTTCATCCAGAGCCTTATGGGCTAGAGGATGACCAGCGTAGCATGGGCTATGATGACCTGGATTATGGCATGATGTCTGATTATGGCACTGCCCGTCGGACTGGGACACCCTCTGACCCTCGCCGACGCCTCAGGTAGGCAAGAATATGGGGAGGAACGGGTCTTTCCAAGACAGGGAAAAGGGGTGGTTCTTCCTTCTACTTCTAAGAGCTTTTTAGGATCAGAGACATTGGTAACTGCCTACCCCGTCTTTCTTTGTAGAAGGCAGCCCTGTTTTTCTCCTTTCTGACTTGACTTAGTATTGACTTGCTATATTGTCTTTTTTTTTCATTATAAAAATTGTCATATATTCTAATTATAGAAAATTACTTGTGATGGTTATTGGTATATGTCCTAAAGAGTGGCCTTTGCTTCCATGCCAGGGGGTTCTGCTATTACTGGCTAAGAATTGACCCCCTTTTGGTGGTAAGGAGCAGTATAAATGAGACTGCTGACTGGGGTCATGGAATATATACCTAACTTGTTCTGGGAATTTCTTTAGTTTCTGATATTAACAGAATTGAGGGTTTTAGCTTTCAGGGCCAGAATGGACAGTTAAGGGTATATAAAAGGCCCCTGTGGTTTTAATTTCAAGGTTAAAAACAAATCTCGACCTTACAAAGCGTGCTTAGGGTCTTACATTTGATTATAAAGTGAAATGAGGGTGGCATCCTTAGAGGGTGGTACATTAGTGACACTGAAAGGTCACGAAGCAGCTGCCTACACTGACTTTACTACTTGTCTCTGGGGAGTCTGGTGATGTGAAAAAGGGAATGATGGATGTTTGGATTGGAAGATGGTTTGCCTTGAGAGCATGCTTTAGAACGAGAGTCAACAAACCTTTTCTGTGAAGGATCAGATAGAGCTACTTTAGGCTTTGCGGGCCATATATCATCTTTTTCACATGTTCTTGTTTGTTTTTATAACCTTTTAAAAATATAAAAACCATTCTCAGTTCTGGGGCTGTACAAAAACAGATTGGACTCCAGGTTGCTGACCCTGCTTTTAGAGTAAACCAGAGACAGTGTTTCCAGGCAAAGAGAAATAATAAGAAACAAAGGAAGATTTATGGTTGTCTTGATGGTAAGGGTACCCTAGCAGCTGTTGCTGAATTTCTCTCTATATGGTCGTGACCTTCTAAAGCAAATGCTTTGGTGCTTATTTTCCTAATATGCTAGATAGCTTTGCTTAACAGTGAACTAGGCTGGACACAGGGATAGAGGCCCGGTTATCTAAGCCTGAGTCACACACCTTTCAGGTGTCTTTTGGATAGCTATAATCCAACTCCCGTAGTGACTCACCTTTATTCCTGGAGGGACACCAGACCTCACCTGGTACAACCTAGAGCAGTGAGGAGATAGCAGCTACCACTGAGGAAGCTGGGCCCAGGGTGCTGGCTGTAGTACAAGTCTGCTTTTTCTGACTTCCTCATTAGAAAGAGTGACTGGATCCAGAGGGGTGCGGGAGGCCAGGTCATTCTCTGTTGTGCATAGCTGTGGTACTTGGTATAAAGAGAGAGGGTTTGGGGCCTGGTCCTTGGACTTGTTCCAGAGTGGTGTTGGACTTGGAAACCTGCTTGTCTAGCAAAAACGTTAGCTGCTTCCTGTTCCGGGCCTAGGAGAGTAATAAAAGGTCAAACTGAAACAGTAAAGCAGAGTAGTAGTAGTGGAAAAAGCACCGGACTACTTGACCTTGGTTCTAATTGTGCCTCTCCCACTAGCTGTGTAGCCTCAAGCAAGTCATTTAATCTTTCTGGCACAGCTTTGCTATTTGAAAAACAAAGGAAAGAATGTCATGAGCCATTGCTTGTAAAAGAAGGAAATACCAGGTAGATGTCTCTTAGTGACCATAATCTTGGTTATGGTAATGTTTTTGTAAGTGCTATTAAAATAAAAGTAAAACATATTCAATACAGAACTTGAAAAACCCAGAAAAGAGTACCATCCATTGATAAAGAACCACTTTTAACATTTTGGTGCATATCCTTGCAGTTTTTTCCTATGTATGTAACTATGCCCTTGACTTTAATTTTCTTCTGCTAAAATGGAATCTTACCCTACTGTTTAGTAGACTACTGGTATTTTAAAACTTAAAACTTAGCTATATAACCTGTTAATTTTGTTTCAGTGATATTTTGAAGTAGTCTTGGTGATTTTTACAAAATGATTTGGCCATCTGAATCACTGTTGACTAGTTAGATGATACCTATGGGACGGATGCTCTGCTCAGGCTACCCTAGAGGGTTTGGTGTCAATAGGAGTGGTTTTGTGAAACAAACAACAGTCTTATTTGGAGAGTTCCATACAATAGATTCTCCTCTCTCCTGTGGGAGCCACAGAGTGAGATGAGCTCACAGATAATGGGTTTCTTCCTTCCTGGTGGCTATGAATAAATAATAGTGTGACAGACTCCCCCTCTAGTGGCTGTTGGTAGTACTGAAACAGGAAGGAATTATCTCACGTTTGACTTTTACCTTCAGTTGCTTTGTCTTTGTTTCTGTTCTTTGTGACTGAGTATCCCAAATGTGATATTCGTCGGTAGTCTCTATTTCAACAGAATTGGAGATACTGTCTTTGGACATTGGAGGATGGAAATCATGTCGCAAACATACTTGAAGTAGCAGAGATGACCGTGGGGTGAATTATAAAAATTAATGTTCTGGCTTATACCTCATCAATATCAAAGCCAGGTCCTCCTGTGATCTAGCAAGAAGTCCTTTTATAATTTCCAAATTAGGGTAGGAAGAAGCTTGAATATAAAGTGTGTGCAAGGGTCTTATCCCACCAGCTGTTTCCGGGTGTAAATGCCTCATTTCCTGTTTAGCTGAGGGCTTGTAAGAACTATTCTCAGGCTTTGTTTGCTATCTTCTGAGATTTTGAGTCAGTTACTTTGGTTAACTGCTGTCTGAGGGTTTATTTTAATCTCCATGCGGAGAAGTTGATAGCTGTCGGGTATCATTCAAATGCTAACTAGTCGGGATTTGCTTTTTTCTTTGTGGTTAACCTCTCTAAATGCTTGTTAAACTTTCCTAGCTGGCATACTCCACAGGAAAAAAAGGTAGTTTTAATATAATTGTAGATGCCTTTAAAATTATGACCTTAATTGTTTCTATTAAGGATCAGTGTATCATTCATGTAAAGGAGAGGTAAGATCAGTGTATTAGAGCTGGGGTTACTCCCTACCTTGACGATAAGGGGTAAGAGGGAGTGCCCAGGAAGCCAGACCTGACAGCTTGATGTATTCTTCTTTCCTTTTGGTTCTTCTAAAACCTTGCAGGAGTTATGAAGACATGATTGGTGAGGAGGTGCCATCAGATCAGTACTATTGGGCTCCTTTGGCCCAGCACGAACGGGGAAGCTTAGCAAGCTTGGATAGCCTGCGCAAGGGAGGGCCCCCACCTTCCAGCTGGAGACAGCCAGAGCTGCCAGAGGTGATTGCCATGTTGGGTTTCCGCTTGGATGCCGTCAAGTCCAATGCAGCTGCGTACCTGCAACACTTGTGCTACCGTAATGACAAGGTGAAGACTGATGTGCGGAAGCTCAAGGGCATCCCAGTGCTGGTGGGATTGTTAGACCACCCTAAAAAGGAAGTGCACCTTGGAGCCTGTGGAGCACTGAAGAATATCTCTTTTGGGCGTGACCAGGATAACAAGATCGCCATAAAAAACTGTGATGGTGTTCCTGCCCTGGTGCGTTTGCTCCGAAAGGCTCGTGATATGGACCTTACTGAAGTTATTACTGGTGAGTTCTAGGCCTAAGGGAAACTGCTATGTTAGGGGCACTGTTACCCACTAGACATATTGAGAGCTGGAGGGGTTTCTAGTCCTTTTACTTTTGATTAGAGGTTGTGAACTGGTGGTGGCTCTTGGGCCATATACATCTCACAGATTTGTTTAGATCACACAAGGTTTAAAAAAAATTTTTGGAACTAGTTGCTGATGTTTAAAATTCAGGAGATTTCACTTAAAATTCTAGATTCCTGACTTCTCTTAAAAACATGGAGGAGCTAATAGCAATAGATCTGTCTTTCTGTATAGCAGTTGTTGGTCTGAACTTATTGGGGTGTATGCTTTTCAGTTTGCAGCAATCCCCAGTACATCCTGTTATCTCTGACCAACTACTGCCAAATAGGAAGATGTCTTCCAAACACTGAAGTTGAAAGGCATTGCCATGTATCCATATTCTTGTAATTTCTAATATCTAGCTGTCTTCACTTACCTGCCTGACTCGTATAGCCATTAGAGCTTGTGGCCCTTGCTTTAGAACAATGGTTTTTCCGATGATGGGTTGTGACCCATTAGTGTGTATTGAAAACAGTTTAATGGATCACAATCAACATTCCAAGAGAAAGAAACAAAGAAAAAAGAAATAGTATAGGTCAGTGGTTCTCAATGGGGGTGGAGGGGGGGCAGGAATTTTGCACCCCAGGGGACATTTGCAACTCCTGGAGACATTTTTGGTTATCACTAGTGCTACAGGCATCTAATGAGTAGAGGCCAGGATACTGCTAAATATTTAACAATGGACAGGACAGCTCCCCACAAAAAAGAATTATCCAGCCAAAAATGTCAGTATTCCTGAGGTTTAGAAACCCTGGTATAGATACGTCAGAGAGCATTGCTTATAGAAGTATTGTTTTATGATCCTTCATTAACATTTGCAGTGAGCCATAATGTAAAATATATTTCTTACTCTGGGTCACAAACAAAAGTTTGAATACCACTACAAGTGATTGGGGAAGACTGACCAATGATGGAATAGGGGATTCTCTCTGGCATTCTTCAGACATACTGTCTTGCATGCTGGTGAGCTGTCTGACCTGCTGTCTCTACCAGGAACCCTGTGGAATCTCTCTTCCCATGACTCAATCAAAATGGAGATTGTGGACCATGCACTGCACGCCTTGACAGATGAAGTGATCATTCCACATTCTGGCTGGGAGCGGGAACCTAATGAAGATTGTAAGCCTCGCCACATTGAGTGGGAGTTGGTGCTCACCAACACAGCTGGCTGCCTTAGGTAACAGTAGGGTCTTTGAGAGTATGAAGATGAAATATTTGAGGACTGACTTAGATTTGAAAAAGAAAAAAAAAAAAAATTCTTTAGCCTGTCATTCAGCCTTCACCCCTACCTGCATTGCATACTGTGACTCCCACTTGTCTTTCTACCTTTGTCATTACTCCCTCTTGTGTACTGTACCACGTGTGCCTGCTGTTCCCCGCATACCCTCCCTTCACTTCTATGCCTCTTTTACTGTCCATCTAAGCTGGTAACGTTTGTTCAGTACTTGCCACGTGTAAGATCACTCCTCTAGTCTGTGTCTGTGACCCTGCCCTCAATTATCCATATTTCAAGTCAGGCTGATAAATGCACCCTACTGGGAGTGTGGGGGTGGGCGGGGAAGTCTGTTCCTCCTTCTGTCTGTAATGACCTTCTCTCCTTATTTGTCTTTTGAGGCTGAACTCAAGTGCCTTTATTTCATGAAAGTGTTCCTGGCTTCTTCTTCCTATACTCTACAAATGCTGCGATGTATTCTTTTTTATTTAATTTTATTTTTGTTGTTGTTGTTGAGAATATACATAGTAAGACATACGCCAATTCAACAGTTTCTACATGTACAAGTCAGTGACATTGATTACATTCTTTGAGTTGTGCAGCCTTCTCACTCTCCTTTTTTGAGTTGTTCCTCGCCTATTAACATAAAGTCACTGCCCCCTAAGGTTTCTGTCTAATCTTTTGAGTTGCTTTTGTCAATTTGATCCCATATAGATAGTTCTTAAAAAGAGCATAATGCTCAAGGCAGACATGTTGCAATATATTCTTTCCCTCTTTGGAATACTCCTATGTGCTTGCCCCATTCTTCATTTGTACTTCTATACCAGAGGTATCTATTCTGCCTTTAATTATTTCTATTGGAATACTTTATTTACCCTTCTCCTCTTCTCCACCACAAACACAGGGTTATAGATGTCCTGAAGGTAGTTAGGGACTGTCTTAATCAACTTTCTGTCACCTGCAATGCTTTGCTTATATAATAGGTACTCACTATTTGTTATAGTGAATAGAAAAAGTATTGTAGATGTTGAGGGATATTAAAAGAAAGATTTCTGAATTTGAGTTATCTGAGGCCTCTCTCTTTCCCTTCAGGAATGTCAGCTCAGAGAGGAGTGAAGCTCGCAGGAAACTTCGGGAATGTGATGGTTTAGTTGATGCCCTCGTTTTCATTGTTCAGGCTGAGATTGGGCAGAAGGATTCAGACAGCAAGGTATGTTAGTGGCTGGGTGAATTTCATTCACAGCAATCATGGTGCCTGGAATGCAGACCTATCAACTCAGATTTTCAAATAACGTTAGATACCTATACTGGCTGGGACTTAGAAGAACAGTTTTCTTTAGAATTTCTTTCACCTATATATTTTAAAGCCACTCGGCTGTACTTTCAAGGTTATACATTTTTCTAAATAGGAAAAAGTCAGGGTGACCTGTTTTGGGTCACATAACAAATAGTGGCAGAAGCCAGTATGTCCATATCTGGCTCTTCCATTAGCCTGAGGCTACAAGGATTTTGAAAAGTTTCAGGGTACTTAAGAGGCATCGTGAGAGATGATGGATTGGGCTGCGCTTTTGAGGATCAGTATTTTAATACTTCAATCATGGAAACCTGTACTTACGGGAAATGACTGTAAGCATTCTCTTCTGTCATTGAACCTTTTATCTTGTGTCCCCAAGCTTGTGGAGAACTGTGTTTGTCTCCTTCGGAACTTATCATATCAAATTCATCGAGAGATACCACAGGCAGAGCGTTACCAGGAGGCATCTCCTACTGTTGCCAATAATACTGGGCCACATGCCGCCAGTTGCTTTGGGGCCAAAAAGGGCAAGGGTGAGTGTTGATTTCTTGTTCTTGCTCTTTAATGTGGGATGAGGAAAGGAAGGAACTTCTTTTAGCTTAGGTGCGAAATACTTGCCAAGCAGTCTGCCTGGTCAAGGATGTCTTTTTGCTCCGCTGCTGCTTCCCCTGTGGTGTGTGCTTTATTCAAGGTGGTGGTGGTGTGGTGTCAGTATTAACGACTGGGTCAGTGAAGGACTAGAACTCAACTAATCGGGGGCCTTCTTCCCCATTCCTCCTTTGTGTCTCCTATGTTTTTCTTTTCCTCTCTGCGCTTTCCTGCTTATTTGCCCGTGATCCTGTTGACATCTTTCTCCTGCATTTTTCTTTCTTCAATCTCTCCTCTGCTTTCCACCTTGGGTGACGCACTGGAAGATGAGTGGTTCTCCAGAGGTGAGTGGAATCTTTTAAGGTGCTTGTCTACTTCTAATTTGCATGTTTTGGATTGACCTTCCCTAGCATTTCCTTGCCTAACTCTTCCCTATTGATGCATGTAGGAAAATTGAGTAGAGGAAGACCACTGAAAGACGTGTAGCTTTTCTGAGCTCATGGCATGCTATTTATGGGCAGCAGTCCCTGTTACCAGGACTAAGGAGAATAGCAACAACAGTGGTTATCCTGATGTTACTTTTCTGCTGCCTTGTTTCTGTCAGCTCCCTGCTGGAACAAGCTGGGGGCCCTGATTTTTCTTTGTTCCTCTTGATGCATCTCTAATTCAGAGATTCTAACTGAAGAATGAAAAAATGTTCCAGGTTGGAGTCTTTTCCTTTCTTAAACTTTCTACCCCTCCCCGACTTTTTCTTAATCTCCAAAGGGAAAAAACCCACAGAGGATCCAGCAAACGATACTGTGGACTTCCCTAAAAGAACCAGTCCAGCTCGAGGTAAGTTACTTTTTCTTCTAGTCTCCAAGGATCTCCTAAACATAGTCCACAGATACAGTATTTGGTAGCCTAATAGCAGATTATAGGCTGTATGTTCACTCTTCTTTTTTCTCTTACTACAGATTTGAAATGATGGTGAAGGTGTTAAGAAATGCTATAGTAGCTTACAAGGGACTGCTTGTTAAGGCAACTATTCAGATTACTGGTTGATAGGATAAGGATGAGGTCCTGATGGTAGTCTAGAGGAGCCCTGGTGGTACAGTGGTTATGAGCTTGGTTGCTAACCAAAAGGCTGGCAGTTTGATTCCACCAGCCGCTCCTTGGAAACCCTATGGAGCAGTTACACCTTGTCCTGTAGGGTTGCTGTGAGTCAGAACCAACTCGACAGCAGTCGGTTTGGATTTTTGGTTTTGGTAGTCTAGACTATGAGTCGGAATCTACTTGACAACAATGAGTTTTGGTTTTAAGCCACTTAAATCTTACCTATTCATTTGAATCTACCAGTGGCTCCTCAGGAGAAAAGACCTGCCAATCTGCTCCCATAAAGATTATAGCCTAGAAAACCCTATGGGGCAATTCTGCTCTGTCATATAGGGTTGCTATGAGTAGGAATCGACTTGACAGCACACAACAACAACAACATTTATTTTAGATGAGGACTCTTTAACACTGATTGCTGCAAATGAGCTAGATGAATCCTCTGAGTGCTGATAATCAAGCCAAGGCTAAAGTAAGCTGGGAGAGAAGAGAGGAAGGGAAGAGAGAGAGGAGTACCATATCATGAGTTGACATCTCTTCTGCTGTTACCATGGATTACTTATTCTTAAGGCATGGAAGCAGACCTCTGAGTTTGCTGTTGAATGGAGAGTTTACGGAGCCTAATGGTATAGGAACATAAACCTGTCAATCTAGAGTACTAAGTCTGGACTCCAACTAGCAGAGCATGGTTTGTAGGTGTTGATTAGCATCCTCTGCTTTCTTGCCCTTTCTTGTGTAGGCTATGAGCTCTTATTCCAGCCAGAGGTGGTTCGGATATACATCTCACTTCTCAAGGAGAGCAAGACTCCTGCCATCCTAGAAGCCTCTGCTGGAGCTATCCAGAACTTGTGTGCTGGGCGCTGGACAGTGAGTACATTTTAGAAAATGCATTTGAAGGCAGGAGAACTTAGATAGCTAGTGTGCTGCCACTTGTAATCTGTTCTACCTCTTTCCACGTGCCACTTGTAGTATGGTCGATACATCCGCTCTGCTCTGCGTCAAGAGAAGGCTCTTTCTGCCATAGCTGATCTCCTGACCAATGAACATGAGCGGGTAGTGAAAGCTGCATCTGGAGCACTGAGAAATCTGGCTGTGGATGCTCGCAACAAGGAATTAATTGGTAAGGAGTTGAATGAATACTAACCATTACATGCTCAACATCTAGTATAGCAGATGCTTAATGATTTATTTATTGCAATGGCTGAGGGAAAGAATCCTCCATGGTTATGAAGCCAAGGACTGGAGAGGGCTACAGTTTAATGGTTCTCGGAAAGATAAGTGATAACTCTTCAAAGATAGATTAAAATAGCGATTATTTATTGAGCAAAGCCCCAGGGTGGTGCAAACAGTTAACATGCTTGGTTGTTAACTGAAAGGTTGATGGTTTGAGCCTACCCAGAGGCACCTCAGAAAAAAGGCCTGGTGATATACTGCTGAAAAATCAGCCATTGGAAGCACATGCATGGGGTTGCTTGCTGTGAGTTAGAATCGACTCCACTGCAAACTGGTAGTGGTGATTTATTGAGCGCTTACTTTGTTACTAGGCACTGTTAAGTTCTTCTCTTTGTTCTCATCTATAGACCTTTATAAAGGTCTTATTTTTTTCCTAAAGATAAGGAAACTGTAATTTGCCCACAGTTAACGTAGCTAGTTAGTGGCAGAGCCCAGGTTTGTGTGTGTGTGATTAATTCATAATGACTGTATTGATCTGTTATAATATCCAATATACTATTTTCACTAGAGTGTCTGAAAAGACTGCATAGCATGTTTGATATACATTATTACATGGTTTTATTGTGAATGAAGAAGGGGAAGAAAAATAAAAGAATAGGAGGAAGACTAAATCCCTGGCTATTCCAGGTCCTTGGCTCTTTTGATATGATAATCCTGTAGGAGAATGAATTTGATTCATATGGAGCAGTACCTATGCGTTTTTATACGATCAGTGCAGTCACGTATACTGGTTTGAAGACTCCCCATGACCTGACTCAGCTTGTTTTCCCTGCACACGTTTTTTTCTGTCTTACTGTTATAGGTAAACATGCTATTCCTGACTTGGTAAACAATCTGCCAGGAGGGCAACAGAGCTCTTCCTGGAATTTCTCTGAGGATACCGTGGTCTCTGTTTTGAACACCATCAATGAGGTTATTGCTGAGAACTTGGAGGCTGCCAAGAAGCTTCGGGAGACACAGGGTATTGAGAAGCTGGTGTTGATCAACAAATCAGGGTGAGATTGCCACTTAGAATTACAGCTGGAAGAACTTGAGTATGAGAGGGGAGAATTTGAGTATTAAAAACTTTCCCCTTTTGTTTCTAAGGTCTTCTTCCCCCTTATGTGCATGTAAAGTCATAAGAGGTATTGTTCTGTTTTCTGTCATGTTGGTCTGTAAATGGATAACAGACTCTCTTTCATCAAACATTTTTTGTGCTACTGTTTGGGACAGAATACAGGATTTGGAGAAAACTTGATCTTGCCCATTTTGGCGTTTATACTTTTATGTTATATTGTGTTAGAGGGTATAGTACTAAGTTTCTTTCTTGGTTTTGTATCCAAATTCCATCGGGTGTTACTTATCTTAAAAGGAATCGCTCAGAAAAAGAGGTTAGAGCAGCAGCACTCGTGTTACAGACAATCTGGGGATATAAAGAACTGCGGAAGCCACTGGAAAAAGAAGGATGGAAGAAAACAGACTTTCAGGTAGAGTAACTCTTAAGACTAAGACTTTTGCCTTTTTTAATTCTTGATCCCAGGTTAACACTACTGTCTTTTGTTTTTTCTATTTTATTATCATATTAAGTCTACTTTTGTCCCAAGCCTTTCAGCACTAAAGAAATCATTTGGTTTACTCCCCCTAAAAAAAAAGTAGGCTTACAGTTCATTTGCTGCTGAAGCAGCTCTGGTCTCCCTCTATGTCCTAACATTCTGTAAGTGCTCATGGTGGAGATGGAGAGGTGATGAAGGATGATGGCTTTTGACTTTTCCCCAAATCTTCCATACCCCTTTGAAGGAATTTGCCGATCCCTGAGACTATGTCTCCTTATGATAGTGTGAGGGTTTGGTGCTTTGCTATCCCTGGTCATGCACACAAATAGAAGCCATAACATCCTAGTTTGCTTCACTATATAGGGCATTTATATAACCCGTATGAGTTGCCTTTTGGTAAGAGTCAAAATTGGGAACAGGAATCTAGAAGTCTGGGCCCATTAGGGAATAAGATGTGGATGAATTCAGTGTTCTGTGACATTACTGCGTTTTATGTTTGCCTCCAGGTGAATCTAAACAATGCTTCTCGAAGCCAGAGCAGTCATTCGTATGATGATAGCACTCTCCCTCTCATTGACCGGAACCAAAAATCAGGTAAAGTATCCGGGGAGCACACCTCTCTCCTTTCATCTGCCCCTGCTGCTCTAAGTCACTGCTTACTGACTAAGAATGGGGCATATATTTATTTCTGGATGAGCTGGGGGAATAATGCTTTATCCAGGATTTATAATGTAGAAGCTGGTAGGCCTTAGTATTAGAAAATAAAACAGGCAATTAGCCTGGGTGTGATCCCCTATCTTTGTGGTGGACTTAAAGATGACTGGAAAGTGAAGTCTTTTTTTTTTTTTTTTTAATTTTAGTATAATACCAATTAATAAATATTTACTGTTCAAAAATTAGAAAATACAGATAACCAGAAAAATAACATGTAATTTATTTCTCTTATCTGGAGGTAACCACTGTTATTTTAAGTTATATTCCTTTTAAGACATTGTTGCCATTAGAGCAAACACATTTCCCCTCCAAAGAAGAATCATATATTTTGTTTTGTAAAAAAATTATTTTTCTTCAGTTAAGTGAATATTGTGTTTTTTATTATCTTAATCACATTTGGCTTCTGCCTAGATCAGTAGTTCTGAGTGTGGCCCGAGGATCCCCAAGACTCTTGACGTTTATACCGATAATCTCAAAAATGCTTGTGGTGCTTGCTGCTGGTGGCTTAGCATAAATCAAGGCAAAGACACCAGGCTGAACTAGTCATTGTGTTCTTCATCTCAGTGTACTCACCGTTTAAAAAAAAAAAGAAAGCCAGTTTCACTTGAAAACGTATTTGATGAAACTGTAAAAGTTATTAATTTTATTAAGTCTCTACCATTGAGCATGCATCTTTTTAGTATCTGTTTGACAAAACAGGAAGTACTCATGAAGCGCTTATGCTGCCTACCAGGGTATGATAGTTGTCTCTTGGAAAAGCACTTATGCTGTTTGAGTTGCTACTTAGACTAGCCATTTTTTTTATGGAATACCATTTTTACTTGAAAAACAACTGGCAGACAAACTATGGTTACTCAGACGTGGGTATTTGGCAAGCAGTTTCTCAAAAATGAATGCAGGAAACCTGTCCCTTTGAGGAAAATAATCGACAACATTGGTTGCCCGTTGTAAAATTTGATCTTTCATGTGAAAATTATAATTTTGGAAAACTTGTATTTGCCACCATGAGCTTGATAGCTTCCAATACTCAGAGACTTTTCTAACAATCAATGGTGATAGTAACAAGTGGGTTTTTTTTGATAATTGTGTAGTGAAATGTGTTAAAGCATTTGGAAGATCTGCATAACTCTATGAACCAGTATTTTCCGAGTGACCAATTTATGATGTTTCAAATGGGGTGGGATGGGATGACAGGATGATGGGATCCACTCAAAGTGCAAGACAGACCAATGAATTTTAATTTCGCAAAGTATAAAGAGATTATTAATATGGCTTTAGTTTCCACATTGCTTCTAACACTGAAGAAACTGCTTGTCAAATGTTGGTATACGATCAAGGAAGAATATCCACAATTATCTGAAAAGGTATTAAACTTCTTTCCCCTGTTTTAACTGTATATCTGTGTGAGGCCAGATTTTCTTCATATACTTCAACCAAGACAACATATCAGAACAGATTGAATGCACAAGCAGATACGAGAATTCAGCTATCTTTTATTAAGCTGAACTTTAAAGAGATACACAAAAACATAAAACAATTTAAAAAAATTATTTATGTTAACACTTAACAGGTTTATTGTTATTTTTAAGTGAAGTTAATATTTTATATTTCTCAGTATGGTAGATATCGATTGCTGTAACCCACACCAATTAAAGCTCATAATTTTTAAGACTGTAAAGGGGTCCTGAGACCAAGTAATTTTGAAAACTGCTGGCTTAGATTGAACGGCTTTTGTATTAGGAATCTGTAGGAAAGGGTATTCCTATAAGTCCCGTGAGGGCTTTGTTATAACCCTAGAGCGTAGCCTACTGTCTTGCCCATAGTGTGTACTCAGTAAAAATGGCAAGAAGGAGGGCGGGAGGCAATTTTTATGATAGGTGTGGATTTTGGAGAGTTTATTTTTGACCTGTATACCTTTCTGACTCCCTATAGATAAGAAACCTGATCGGGAAGAAATTCAGATGAGCAATATGGGATCAAACACAAAATCGTTGGGTAGGTGATTAATTCCTGCCTCAGAATATGGAGTAATATTTCATTGGGGTGATGAGAGCTCTTCACTCTTAGATTTTGACCTCTTCTAGCAGCACCCTTACCATTTACCATCCTGGAAGAGCATTAGCTGTTCTTTTCCATTTGAAAGGATGAAAGAAAATTTTAGTAAAACTAGATCCATCTGTTTTTTCCACATTCTCTAATGCTCAGAAGTTTTCAAAAAACTTTCAGCGTCTCTCTTATTCCTTCAGAATCAAGTTGGTGTCCTGAAGCTGTTATTCATAGCCCCTCAACAGTTCAACCCCAGGCTCCCTCTCTGTCTTCTCTCCATGCATTCTGTTTCAGCCCACCTGGTCTACTTGCTAATCTATCTCGTCACTCTTTACCTTTTTTTTGGTTTCTTCCCGTTTTGTTCATGTAACCTCCTACTGAAATCTTTTTTTTTTTTTGATCGTATGTTTCAGTATTTCATATATATTGTCTTCCCAGTTAGATTCAAGTTGTTTTTAAGTCAGAGACTACCAGACCTTAATGCCTTTCTGGAACATTTGACGAAGCTCAGTTCCCACCAGAGGTTACTAATTTGCACTTAACTGTTGGATATGTATTGTATAATAGAGAAGGAGATTATATTTCTTTGTTTTTTTCCACCTAGATAACAACTATTCCACATTGAATGAGAGAGGGGATCATAATAGAACACTGGATCGATCCGGGGATCTAGGGGATATGGAGCCATTAAAGGGAACACCCCTGATGGTAAATTCTCTTCATATACTGTTATGCTTCTCGAAGCCTGCATGTTTTGTGAAATAGGAAACAGAAGTACAAAGTGAAAGATAACATCATTTTCTGGTAGGGGTTTTCAGGAAAAAGTCGGAGTTTTGACTAATTTTGGGATTTCTTTGACTATTCGGTGATGGTCGAGATGGGGGAGGAAGGCTGTAAGCATGTTACTAATATGACTAACGCTAACTGCTCTGTTCGCATACATTTCTCTCTCCCTGTGGCTGCCTTTTTCTTTAAGTTTACAGATTTTGGAATTTATTCTAGGTCTGGCATGCACTCATGAGATTTCCTATTTCGTTACTCATACTAACAAATTGCATGTGTTCACAGCAGGAGGAGGGGCAGGAATCTCTGGAGGAAGAGTTGGATGTGTTGGTTTTGGATGATGAGGGGGACCAAGTGTCTTGCCCCCCCATGGTATGTCCTCCTGCTATCCCCAAGATCACCCTTGAGGAAGGAGGCCCCTGTGTGCCAGGAGTTTGCCAATCATGCTGATCTGATCAGGCCAGAGATGCTAGTCTTGGCCATGTGGGGCTCAGGGGTTCTGCTTCTGTGATTGTTACCTCGTAAGAGGCTGGGATGTGCAGCTGGTGATCTGATTCTCCGTTATGTGCTCCTTTCCTTCCTCCAGATTTGCTAAGCTCTTTTTTGGTTCTCATATTCCCAACTCTTTTAACATACTCTCTTTCTCTTTTTTCCCCTACAGCAGAAGATTTAGCACCACTATCTCCGTTCCATCTGAGCTTATAATATATGTACTTTTATTTTTTGTTGGTGAAATGGACTGATGATTTTTCCCTTTCTTCGCTGGACTATTGTGCAAACTGCCAGGCTTCCTCCTGCCCTTACAGCCCTAAGTGGCTGCCTTCTTTTCATGGACTCCCAACTTCTTCCAGTGAAGTTTAATTGACCCCTCCCTACAAATCCCCTCCGGTTTCTCCCAAAGAGCCTGACCCAGTTATTTGCATAGGATGCCTCAGTCTCGCCTATCTTGAGAAACTGCTGAAGTTAGCTCTTTCTGCCAGCTCTTCCTGGAAATCTTGGCCTTGTGTGGAGGGAGGGGAAGAGTGGAAATCTTCACTGAAAGCCATGAGAAGAATTGGAAGTTACGTGCTATATATGCAGTGTCCAGCAATCTGATAAACTAGTGGTTCTTAATTTTTTTTTTCTCTGGTGGGGAAGGGACTTTTTATTTTTTTGGAGGAGGGGAGTGTGAGCTCTTCCCTTACTCCTAATGGCTACTTTTGAAGCAAAGAAGGTTGGCAACATTGGAACACATTCCACCTGGCAAAGGCCCTTGAGTAAGTGAGGGTCGTAGAACTGGGATTAAGAAACCTTAACTCTCCTCATCTCTGAGGCAGGCACCATAAAGGATCTACAGACTCCATCTCTTCTTCAAGCCTCATGCCAACCCTGGGCTGCTGCCACTGCCCCTCACTGAGGCTGTTAGTAGCCCTCCCCTCCCATCCTGTGATATGTCTGCTGACCTGACCTGGCCATTGGACTCCATCTCTTCTTCGAGCCTCATGCCAACCCTGGGCTGCTGCCGCTGCCCCTCACTGAGGCTGTTAGTAGCCCTCCCCTCCCATCCTGTGATATGTCTGCTGACCTGACCTGGCCATTTGCAAGAGGCTGTTGAAAAAGGAGAATGTGTCAAGGCAATATTTTGGGGTGAGGAGGAGCAGAAAGATGTCTTTTGAGGAGAAGAGGAAACTCTAGGAGGAGCTAGTTGGAATGTACACGAAGCAGTTAGTCTGAAACTGGCAGGAAGCTTCAAAGCTGGCTTCCCCCTTGCCCTATTTCTCCTGTCCCTACCCTTATTATCCTGTTCCCTCCCTTGCCTCCTCCCTGGGGTTGGTTGGCCAACTAAAGGACTTGATGTACATGACTCCTGTTCTCTTTACCCTTATAAGGTAGGGTTTGCCCCCGGCTTTGCCTTTTCTCTGTGCCTTTGGCCTGGGGTGCATCTCCTCCTTCCCTTCCATGTGCCTTTCTTTGCCTCTGCAGTCTCATTTCTCATGATTTTACAAATTATATTTTGTTGGCTCTCCTACCCGTTATTGGCCCTAAATAGAAAGAAGAAAGGTGACCTAGAGAACCTCAGATTCTCTACTGGGGATTGGTATAGCCTATAATTTCAGCCATAGCAAGCTTTCGCTCAACAGCATGGGATTTTGACATCATAATCCTGTCCTGATGAATCTTAAAATGAGATTGGTGGGAAGAGTGAGTGGTGGGACTCTTACTCCTCAGTTGCCCAGAATTTACCATCATCTCTAAAGGGGTTATAGGCAAGTTGTCTCCCCGCAACTATACTGCCCCAACAGCTCCTCCCCCTCGTTTAGTGTATATTAGCAGGTTGGACTAGAGGAGTCAGCTGCTATGTGGGTTGATTTTTTTTTAAACTTTTTTCTTTATTTGCCTTCTCTTCCTCCCCCTTAATCTCAAACTTCAGTGCAACTGGAAATCTTTATCTTTCTCCTCTCCCCGCTTTCCCTTATATATTGAGGCTATGGGGTAGGAGAAACGTGCACACCCTGTCCCCTTCCCCTGTGCATTAAAATTCCTTATTTGCCCTTTTTTCTCTCCCATATCTTCCCACTCTCATCTACCTTTTCTAGCAAAAAGGAGCCTTTTGCTCTCTGACCCTCAGAGCACACTGCACAGGGGCACTTGCCCCATCTGGATCTGGCTCCACTCTTGGTTTCTCTTGTCCTCCTCTGCTCTTTTCCTTGGTGCTCTTTTTCTTGGTGGGGTTTGGGTAATAGAACAGCCATGGACTTTTGGGGACCTTTAACTTTTTTTTTTTTCTTTTTTGTTTATAAAAATACTAAACATTCAATTCCAGAGAACCAAAAATCCCACCTTTCCACCGAACACTACTAAGGAGCATGTCTTCTGCTCCATACCTTTTCTTTTTCTTTCTCTCTTGTTAATGCTTTTAAAAACAAATGAATTTTTTATATAAATAAAGTTTTGAAAGTGTGTATGTGGGGGGTCTGTGTCATTTCTTTACTTTAGGCTATTATCTCCTCTCCTTTTCATCTGGTTCCTTCCTTGTGTATCTGTGTCCTTTTTCTATCCAGAGTAACCAGAAGGGGGCTGTACAGGGGTGGGTTTAGTTTGAGCTCAGTCAGTCCCAACTCATCAAGCAACATTCCCTTTAATTATATGTAAGACATTCTTCCTTCTCAAGATTATTAAAAATTAAATGTGCCTGAAGTAGAGTACAGGAAGCTTATTGCTATCGTAAAGATGGATGGTTGAAATATAGAGAATTATGGCTTCCATAGTTACTGGAAGATGAATAAGGAAGAGGCAACAGTTGACAAAATGTTGAATAAAGCCCACTGCAGTATATGGTCCTCTTGAACTTTACATTTATGAGTGGAAGATTAGAAGCTACCAACCCCAACTGCCATCCTGATAAATAAGAAAATGTAGAATTAAAAGGCCCAAGTATGTACTGGACACTGGGCCATGAGGTTGCTCCTCAGGTTATACATATTCTTCAGTGAGAAGATGAGGAACAGGCCTATAGCTTCCTTTGTGCCCTACCAAGTAACATATGGGTGGGTAGCAAATACTTGTTGGATTACCAGGGATTGTCTTCACTGCAGAGGCCAAGGAATAAGACCTATGGAAGAGACTTATTTTTCTGGGGCCCGTATTGCCTATTATATAATTAAAAGACTCAAGAGATTTTATGTAAAATGCTTTCTGTTATGCCCAAATCTTTAGATTAAAATTATATAGCTCCTTTTGATGATGGTCATGTCTCATTTTATTGAAATAGGACTTGGGAAATGAAAACTTTATTGGGCTAATGAGACCAGGAAACCTAAGCATTGAAGCTGTTAACCTTTTAAGGCTTGATCTGTGTGTGACAATTACAGTTTTAGACTAGAAGAATGAAGCACAGAGCCAGAAGCTATTAGACTTTGCTTTCCGGAGAGGTTTGGTAGTCCCTTTTAAGATGATTTTCACCCATGTAGACAAACTTGGCTACTGGGGAATAGCCTTTATTTCTCTTATATTCTTTATTATCCACTGGCACTGAGTTAGACACAACTCTCTTCCTGTCTCCTTGGATTAATTTATTTCCTTCAATAGTTACTGAGCACCTTCTGCATAATAGGTATTAGGTTTAGATTAAGAGAGTGAAACGGATCCTTTCTCAGCTTGCAGTCCATGAGAATCCTGTGTAGCTGAGATCTGTGATCTTTTTAAAAATGTTTCCTCTTTCTGTGCCCTTATCTAAAATGAAGTGTTAAACAGAATGATCTGTAAAGGCCCTCTAAATTTGTTGACACTGATTTAGTGATGCTCTTGGAGCCTGTGGCTAACTCTTGCTCACACCAACTTTAGGAATCCTTTGGGCTTTGCTAACGTTTGCCCATGTAGCAACCTGGATAAGTCACACTGGTTATTTTGATACGTATGGTCAGCTAACAGCGCCTTGAGACCCTGATCTAGTGACTTAAGTTTTCATGGCTCACACTAGAACCCCCGGGACAGTGGTCTCCAAGTCCACTAGTAATACCAGTTTCATGATAGATGTAGGTATAATGTGGTATGGTGACAGCCATGTTAAGAGGGAATTCATAGAAGAAACAATGTTTAACTCAAAGGAATGAATTGCTTATGGTAGAATTTGAGGTAATATGAGTGGTAGACTGGTACGTGGTATGTTGGTAGGAGAAACTTCTTATCCTGCAAATCATATAGATAATACCCAGGCTGCTGAGGAGTGAAGCCTGCCCTTGCTATGGGGACTCCTAGGGCGTAGAGGATCTCCTGGAGTTACTGACTTTGAAGTGTCACCTCTGACGGCAAAGGGTACCTCAGTGGGGAGCAAGATTAGCCAAGTAGCCCCACTGGCCAAGGTCGAGGAGTCCATGGCTGGAAACGTTAAATCATTCTAGAGAGAGAACCTACCCCAAGAAAGCATGAAAAGGTAAGAAGCAAGGTATCTCTAGGAGTAAATTTCTTTCTCATAACCTTTAGTGTGTAACTTTACGACCTCTTGATTTTCTTGCCTTCTGACTATTACTTAGAACAGTTCTTCAGCTGATCGACTTAGAATTTAGGGGCAGACATGGATGGAGAGACAGCTGGAGGAAATGAGGTAGGATAGACTTCAATGAAAATTATTTTGCTCTGCATCATTTTTTCCTGACTCTTCTCATGTTTTTCTCCTTTTATGTGGTATGAAATGACCAGGGCCAGCTATCCACAAATGAATCACGTGCTATACACCTGTTCCTGTAATTGTAGGAGCCATAAGCATTAGTGTAAGCATGTGGCAACTCGTGTGTTTTCCTTTTATTAAACTGAGTAATAAGTGTTAGTTTTCTTTTTACTAAACTGAGTAATAAGTGTTATCTACCTCTCCTTATACATCTCTGATCTTTCTTCGTTGTTGAAAAGAGCAAGTTCTTCCACTTTTATTGAGGACACAGAAAGGATTACTGTATTGCCATTGTTCCTCAGATATTTTTAGTGCTAACGGACAAATAGTTTGGATGCCATAAAACACTTGTGCCTGAGGAAAGGAAAAGGGATATCTGTGAAGATGATGTGCCACGCACTTTGTATCCTGTTCCTGTCTTCATCACAATCCAGTTTTTCTCCACACTTAAGGCAGAGCTAGCCTTGATCTTTTTCAAATCTTGGACTCTGGGCTTTTTTACAACCTGCTCTGCTGCCAGGATCCAGGTGGCAGGGGAAGGTGCAGTGTGTACGGTTGCAACTAATTCAGCCTTCTGTTTTTTGCAGTATGGCCCATTAGATGCTTTGAACAATCAGCAGAAACAACTAAGATGCTGGATAAAATGTATAAAAAATACTTTTGAAAACACATTGCTGAGCATGCACAAAAGTAAGGAATCCATAGATCTCCAAAATGAAGTGAAAGTTGGAATTCTAGGAAATAAGCACTACCAATGCCGGGTTAGAGTTTTTGCCAAACTCAGCTGATCTTTTAAGCTTTTACTTCAGTACCTGTACAGAGTATTAAAAAACCAAACCAAACCCATTGCCGTTGAGTCAATTCCGACCCATAGTGACCCTATAGGACAGAGTAGAACTTCTCCATAGGGTTTCCAGGGAGGACCTGGTGGATTTGAACTGTCAATCTTTTCGTTAGCAGCTGAACTCTTAACCACTACGCCACCAGGGTTTCCATACAGAGTATGGGAGACAGGAAATGAAGAATCTAACAGATGAAACCCGAATAAAGTAGATATCCCAAAGGACTACATATACCCTCAGTGTAAAGGTGAACAAGAAACAAACCCCACCCCATAAAAGGAGGGAACTTAGAAAAGAAAGGAACTTATTTTGTCTCAACCTTGGTGCAAGACAGTCCTTGGGTGGTGCAAATGGTTAACGTACGCCCTGCTAACCAAAATGTTGGCAATTCAAGTCCACCCAGAGTCGCCTCGGGAGAAAGCCCTGGTGATCCACTTCCGAAAAATCACAGTTCTACTCTGATACACACGGGATCACCATGAGTTGGAATCAGCTCGATGGCAACTGGTGCAAGATGGAAGGAAAAATATATCTTTCCTGATAACTCATAACCACAAGTTGGCCCTAATGGATTTTTATCCCAAATTTACATTACCTCTGGTCCAAAAATCTGAAGTGGGTAATTTAAACTGGAGCCCAGTTGTCATATCTCCAGGTGATTTCCAGGAGCAAATTCAATTCTACTAAGACCTCAAAAATATTCCTATAGATAAACTTCCAAGACAAATGAGCTACACTGGTCAAAAATTATACAATGTACGAAGAAGGCACCATGAGTGAAAACAGGGATGAACAGACAGATTCTTAAATACTT